TTTGCATTTGATATTAATTTAGTAAGCCATAAAATTAATATATATGTATCTATGTACATATGTATATGCTATTAGAAATACTTGTTTTTAATTTAAAATAATTACTTTTTCCTAAATAGAAATTTCTATGTTAAAATTTTGACTATGTTTTTTATATATATATAAAAATATAAATAAATAACAAAATAGTTATGTTGTACAAAAATAAATATATTTAATAAATTTTATATATATATATACATATATGGGTCTAAGTATGAAACCACCAAATGTAAACTTGAACCCATCACTCCCTCAATATATTATCTTCATAAAATTGCCTCACCTTTAACAACACCCAAATCTTAAATAAATAAGTAAATGGTCTTGGTGAAATTTATCAACACCCATTTATATATATGTATATGTATATGTATATGTATATGTATATGTATATATCATACAATATAATTTATATACATATATAAATGAAAAAGGAGAAAATGAAGCAATCAAAAAGAAAAGAGGAAGGCACCCACATCACTCACCATCATTAAAAGCAATCATCACTTACCATCCCCCACACACACACTCTCTCAACACATCTTCACCAAACCTAAACTCCAACTCCTTCTTTCACTTCCTTTTTAGTTTGTTTGGTTAAATTTCAATCTTCTTTCTTTCTTCTTCTTCTTTTTCTTCTTCTGCTGCTGCTTCTTTCTCACCTTTTTCTCCAACTTCTCTTGCTTGTCCCTTCACAACCTCCCAATGTCTCCTCACCCACTCCCTCACTCTCTCTCTCAACACTTCACTTCTTCTTGAACATATATATATATACATACATGTATGTGTTTGTAGGTAGGTGACAGAGGATACAAGAAGGTTTTAATTTATGGTATTTCTCTTCCAAATCCAACACCAACTTCACATGGCCCTCTTTTACACCTTACTAACTCTCTTCCTCTCTTCAGGTGACTTTCTCCTTCTCCTCTTCAATTCTTTATCATTCTCAATTATGATTTACTTATTCATTTCATTTGGGTTTTTAGTCTTATACATAAACTCTTAATATATATTGCATTCAAACTTGGTGTTTGCAATCTCATGAATCCTCTGAATTCAAACTTTCTTTCCTTTGGATAGTACCCTTTTTCAAACCACCCTTTGATTCTTTTCTTACTAACTCACTCTTCCTTATTCTTTTTCTTTTCTTTTCTTTTCTTTTTTCTTCAGATTTTTCAAATTTTTTAATCATGATTCCTCTTTTCTTTTTCTTGTTAATAATTACATTTTGTCCCTTTTAATCTACTCATAAGCTGTTTGATTATATCTCCTTTAGTTTTTTTTTTTTTTCTAATATTTTATTATATACTCATACAAGTTACAACTAGAAAATTCTTCTAATGGTGGTTGTTCATATCAAAAATTTCATAAATGGGTTGGATTTCATTTGGGTTACCCAGTAGTTTTCCATAACTGGGTGAATTTCATTTGGGTTACCCAGAATTTATCTTCCAAGTTTTACCCAGTAGTTGAATCTGATACACTGAGATGAACAGAGTAAAACAGAGCAAGTAAAATTTTCAATGCACCCAAGTAATCAATTTTATAAATTGGTTTTAAAAAAGTGATTAATGCTTTGGACTTTATATATGATTGCATGATCTGGATTCATGTTAGGAAAAAGACAAGTGTTGTAGCAGTGAAAATTTTGATACTAACAGACAAGAAAACTTAAATATTTCAAATTATGTTCAGGTATGTTAATGAAGATATCAATTGGACAGATCCAAAAAGATATTACAACTCCAATAACTACAGTTCCAACCATTAATCCCACTCCCATTATTAACCCTAATTCCGATCCCGATTCAACGACAACTTCTCCGGTATCCATGACTCCGATGACTATACCGACTTCTTCAGCTTCAAGCTGGTGCATTGCTAGCCAAACTGCATCAAAAACAGCCTTACAAGTTGCATTAGATTATGCTTGTGGATATGGAGGTGCAGATTGTTCAGCAATTCAACCTTCTGGTTCATGTTATAATCCAAACACACTTCATCACCATGCTACTTATGCTTTCAATAATTACTACCATAAAAATCCAATCCCAAGTAGCTGTAATTTTGGAGGAACTGCTGTTACTACCAGCACTGACCCAAGTAAGCTTCACTCTTCATCTCCCTATAAATACATGTACATATGTATATATTATAATATGTAGCTGCAATTCCTTCTAATACTATTATTTGATATTTTTGTTGCCCTGCTCATGTTACATGCTCTGTGTGAGAAAAAAGAGTGTAATTTTGGAGTACCAAGTAGGGTTTCTCTGTTAATATTACTTTATATATATCTATATCTATACATATGCACATACAGTTGCTATCTTCACTTTATTTTATCTGAGATTTTTTTAATTTCTTGGTTGGTGGTGGAAAAAGTCATCTGGGACACTGAGATGGGAGCATTGTTTGAGTGTCCATTTTTTCTGCCTTGAAAAGTTCTGGACTTTAAAGTTCAATTATTTGAAGTTACTGAAAAAAAAAAAACCTTCATTGCTAACTTTTTAAAATTCATTTGTACTTCTCCCCTTTTAAAGTTGAACTTGAACCAAGCATTTCTGTATATATTTTCATTAAGAAGTTTTATTATACTTGATGTATATGTATTATTTAACTATTCAAAAATTCATATATATACTGTTTTTCTATTATAACAATTTAGAATTTCTAAGTTGAACTGTGGGTTTCTGCATATATTTTTATTGTTGTAGGTACTGGAACATGTCAGTATCCACCTACAAGGTGAACTCTCCCCAGTAACTTTCAACCATTCTTTAAACATACACATATATATATGTATGTATGTGTTTGTGTATATAATCTTTTACCTTTGTTTCATAATTTTTGAAAATCTGCAGCACTAGTTCATCAATCTTGAACACAACAAACTCAAATGGGTCAACAGTTTATGGTGCAGTACCTTCAAATCCAACTCCATCATCATCATCATCATCATCATCATCATCTACCATTCTCAATTTCAACAGTAGCTTCTTTGTCATTATATATCTCCTCTGTGTCTCTGCCCAGAATATATCATCATGAAACTATATTTACATTTCCTTACAAGCTAATGGGTGATTTTGATTAGAGATATACAATATACAAATATAGGAATTTTTCTTTTTTCCTTTACTTTTTGAGATCACTTATGTGAATTGAGTATTATTAGGTATTCGAGTATTGTTAGGAATTCGAAATCCCCGTGAGAGATTAACAAATCGACTTGATTGCGAGATAGTTTGGATTGTAACTTGGATTGTTCTTGCTTTGGGTTCCAAAATTAATAATTTTCTATAAACTAATTTTCTCTCTTTAATTTTTTATTTTTATTTTTATTTTTTTACATTTTTCTTAGAATGTTAGAAGAAAAACATAATTCATCATAAAAAAAAATTGGTTAATAATAACGGATTCAAAAGGAAAGGTAACACGGTAGTTAATAAATGCTATTTATGCAAAGCTGATAATGTAATATTCAGGTTCAGAATTTAGTCCGGAATTAATTTTAAAATTTTAAAAATGTATAAAAATCTAATTTTAAAATTAATAAAACTCCTGAAGACATCTAATTTTGAATTAGATGGCTTTACCTTCTCTTTCTGAAGTTCTTGGAGTTGTGCTTGGTATTCATCTAATATCTTCAGAGATAGGTCAGACTCATCAACCGAAGGAGCCTCGCTGAGGTTCAAGTTCCCAGTGATCTACCCACATATTTTTTGAATCTGTGATTGCACATCAGAAAACTCCTTAACTCTTTCTTCCTTCAGTTTCCATAGCTGCTCAAGAGCTGGTGTTATAGCTGCTAATTGTTCCTTGATTGTTCCTGAGGTCTTCTCTGGCTGCAATTTGAAACAAAACCAATGATTAGGAACCTGCATCAATTAATCTTGCTAGAAGCTCGCAACTGCTGCAGAATGCATTACAATGGTATTGATCCCCACTTCTCAATTCATCCTAGCCCATGTATGATTGAGATAAGATTTCTTACAATTCCAACAAAACTTTTTTCTCCAAGAGCCGATGCAAGAGTTGAAAGCTCAAGTTTGGCATCTGACAAGGCTTGGAGTAGTTGTGCCCTTGACTTTGCAGCCTGCTCAACCTTCCTCTTGTATACATCCAGACACTCCTGCTCTATCTGTAGAAGCAGCTTGTCCCGCTCCTCATCACTTTCACCAACTTCATCCCAAATTTCCTATGGAAAATCTTGGATTAGCTTATCAAGATATGCCCACACAATTCCGATCAAAGTTTTAAAGATCAGTGACAAAAACATAATTACCTGCAATTTCTGCAATAAGGTACCACAAGTGGTTTCCCCAAGAAGAGGATTTTGAGAATCTGTCACCGCCATTCAGTTAACACCAACAGGTAGTCTGCAACAAGGAGAGCATTTAAGATGACATTCTATGTTTTCCATGAAAGGCTAGGATGCACATTTTGAAACCAAACACAAGCCATGAACAAAAGTGTTGAATCAAAATTTGGGTTCGCATGCTATTTTTGAAAGAAAAATTGAAAACTGATGGTCAAAACGTAATTAAGAAAAATCGAGCCACGTAGGACTGTCTAGTCAGCAGTCTCGACGAACCGAAGCGCACCGCGTGGCAAGACACGCTGACTCGGTGCCACGTGGGAGGTCACATTAGCGATCCGCGTGCCCCGCGATCGAACGGTCCGGAAGTGTTCTCGCGCATGTAGACAGTGAGGATCCGATCATTCCTCAAGCGCGATCGGACGGTCGCGATTAAATGCAATGAACGGTCC